AACAACGCACAGCAGGAACAAAGAAATGAAGGAATACCAATACACTGCATACCCGGGGCATTTTGCACTCCACAGGAATGCGCGTCCCACGTCATCAATTTAAGCCGACAAACTTTGGGGCTCGGACGCACAGTATAACAAACTACCGGCAGTACCGCCAGTAAATATTCTGTTGCACATGATAAATAACCCTCACTCCAACAGCCACGCTGCACGCACTTCTCTGCAGCAGCAGCAGCATGTGGTGGGTGACACGAAAACGAAAACAGGGAATAAAACAAAGGAAAACGTTTGGCAAAAGTAAACAAAAAAAAGAAAAGACAGGGAAGTACATCATCGCAACCTACGCCGCTCAACTGCTTCAAGCACTGCAGCCTTCACATCATCGATGCTCCGTTCCCCACCCACTATCTCAATGATCCTGCCATAGTGCTTCTGGAGGCCTGTAAGCCTCTCGTTGTATATCTTCAGGCGGGCCTCAACAGTCTCGCGGCGGTCGTCAACGCGCTGCACGAGGCGGTCACGCAGCACGACATCGTCCCGCGGCGGCGGGTTGTACAGCAGGTGATACACAGCTCCCGTCGCTGGGTCCGTGCGGCGGTGTTCAATGCGCTCAACGACAAGCGCCTCGGGGACGTCCAGCAGGATGAAGACGTGCGGCGCAATGCCCGCCGCCTCCAGGGCCTCCGCCTGCTCACGCGTGCGCGGGAAGCCGTCGAGCAACCAGCCACGCTCCTTCACGTCGTCCTGCTCCAGCCGGCGGCGGATCATGCCCGTGATGAGTTTGTCCGGCACGAGCTTGCCGCTCTTCATGAAAGACTCCGCAATCTTGCCAGCGTCGGTGTTGTTCTGCACCTCGGCACGCAGCAAGTCGCCGGACGACACATGCACAGCTCCAAAGCGCTTCGCAATGAATCGGCTCTGCGTCCCCTTGCCGCTGCCAGGCGGACCGGCAATGATGATCTGCGGTGGAACAGGGCGCTCAAACAGGTCGTGGATATACTTTGTGGGCTTAGATGGGGCATCTGCTACAATGTTCCGCAGGATATGCTCCATGAGCTGAGCGATGTTGTTCTCCTTTAGGTATGNCGTCCCCTTGCCGCTGCCAGGCGGACCGGCAATGATGATCTGCGGTGGAACAGGGCGCTCAAACAGGTCGTGGATATACTTTGTGGGCTCCGCAGGGCGGTCTGTAGTAATGTTCCGCAGGATATGCTCCATGAGCTGAGCGATGTTGTTCTCCTTTAGGTATGTAAGCGTGTCGTCTGGAATACTGGACATCGCTGGGATCCTCGCACTGCGTCAAAAACAATATAATCAGAGTGTCTTGCTTAACTGATGGAAGAGGCTATTGCTGTGTGCGTGAGGCACCGACGCTCCGACGGAAGGAGTAAAAAGGAAAAGAGGTACACAGACACTGTTGGCGCATCACCCCGCCCAGCACCACACCTCAGCAGCAGCAACAAGATTACCATAGTATGGGAATGGGGAGACCCTCGTACCTGTACATTCAGCGAAGCGTACAGAGCGTTCTACTCTGCTCCACTGCCAAAAAGTGAATAACGAAGGCAATCCCACCTCGGTGGCGGAGAAACTTTCTCGTGCTGACCAGTGCAGTGGCACCTCTACCCCAGTCACAGTTGTATCCGTTGCTTCCAACACCAATTCATCGACCACCAAACAGACCAAACGGGCAGCGTCGGGCCAGTCACACGGTTCGAGGGCTGCCTCAGCAACCATGCCCGGCATAAGCCATCAGTGCATGCGCCCCACCCCAGTGGGTGCAATGTGGCGCACAATGCGGTGTACCTCGCATGCCACCTCCGCTGAAGCCATCCCTTTTCGTACTGTGGCAAACCCCGATCGCCCTCCCACGCCAAATCGGAGACCAGACACAGCCAGTGAAACTCAGGGAGTGCATGCCATTCCGCCACAAACCGTCCCCCTTCACCGCGACGGAGCAGCACAGCACGTCCATCCTTGCAATCCACTATAAATAAACAGCACGCACAACACTCAGAGCTTCAGCGCCATAATTCAGGCTGCCTCAGCAGGTGGTCTGCGCAAAAGAGGAAAGAGGGAGGAGAAAAAAGACTTTGCGTGGCATCGCGTAGGAGGAAGGAGGCAAAATTGAAACCGATGGTGAGGTCCTTACTGATTTCCGACTTCCAAGAGAGTGTAATAGACCCAGCGAATGATGGCAGCAGACCGGACCGTGTCGACGCCTTGCTGCAGTCCGAGCCTCGCACTCCCGCAACGGATGAAGTAACGTTGAATACTTCACACGCATCGTCGCTACACGCACGTGGTGTGGAAGGCCTCCAAGACGAATAGTGGCAGAAAGCTTTTTTGCTGACATGCCAGAAGAGTACGCAATTCAATGGAAGAAACAAGGCAAACAAAAAAGAATGAAGCCCAAAAATTTAAAGAGCACCCACATAACAATAACAAAAAAAAAAAAAA